AAATGACTACCAAATACTGCACTAACTAGTCCATCATTCCCAATCACATGGTCTAAATATAGTTGTTTGAAAAATCCTATCCTTCCAAATACTATCAGGCTACTATTAAACCTTTAATTTCATTTTCACCAACAACACATGACATGTCCAGCTTCTTTGGATTACTACCATCTTCATCAAGACTTTCCATCACTTTAACTTTCGCATTGTCAATTCGCAATGCACTTTCACCTAAATCCGCATACTCATTATTTCCGACTTTTCTACTCATTTTTCGCTTTATCATCTGCAGCTTTACCCCATTATTAACAACATTTCTATTCACACTTCGGATATCAGGTATATATTCTTTTTCCTTTTTTATAGTTTTCTCCTTTACCACACACTTCTTACTAGGTATATCCTCCACTGAAATTTTATATATATTATCGAACGGATCTTCCAACCCAACAACTCGTGCAATCTCAAATTGCTTTTCCAATGATAATCTTCTCATATTCACCAGTTAACCTATACCTTTACCGTTCCAATGCTCTTTTCTATTTACAATTTGCTGAAATACAACACCATTGAATCCATCAATCCCAATATCTCCTTTCGAAGGTGATCTCATCACTTGTTCTTTCATAGTACGTTTTAATTCATTATCGTCTTTTTCTGACGGTTTCATTACATGTCGTACATAATACTCATCGATTTTATCATCTCTTGAATCACCACTATGGATTTGTTGTGGACAAAAACAAGCAATATGGCCCATCTTTCGACATTCATAACATAGGCGTGATCTTCTATTTTTCCATTGTTTAAATCTAACCTCCTTTAAATTTTTCACAACCTCCTTCATAACCATTTCTACAATTATTTCAATTAATGACATCAAACTATTCTCATTCTCCATTTTCGTCTCAACTTCACAAAAGGTTTTCTCTTAATACTAATGTCCACGAAGAACTTAACCTTAATGTTCAGCAATCAAATCACACAGTTCAACGAGGGTATTGCTTCTTGCCCAGGTCCTTTATATCACAGAGTTACCCAAACTACCATGTACTTCTTGATATTTACTACCTGTCTTTACTCACTTGGCTAATATATACAATGACTGGAGTATCATGCCAGATACTACCACCAATAATGTACTCACACAGATAACAGTTTATTCACTAAGAATAATTCAAAGAGCCAAAGTTAGGCATTTCCTCTATTTG